ATTTACTTTATTAAATGGCTTACGCTTTCAAGGATTTGTGATGTGAAGTTAAAGTCAGATTCAGATAATTAAACAAATTAAGGAATTTAGGTTTAAAGTTAAGGAATCTCAAATTTAAAGGGAATGAAAAGAATTGAGTCTATTGATTCATCAATTTTTGTGAATGCTAACTATAAAATAAATGAAGAATAAAATTACTTCTACTTCTTAATCTAATCTAAAGAAGTATTCTTCAATTTTAGCTATTGTGTATTAGTTGATGGATAATGTTTAGGATTGGATAGATTACATTGATTTTATATGTTATTTTAATTATAATCATTAATTTATGCATCCTTCTTATTTTAATGTATGATAAATCTTTTGAATAATAAAAATATAATCTTTGTTTTCTGTTGGTAATCCTTGAGATTCAAAATTAAAGTTATGAATATAGAGAAATTTGATTGACTTTGTATTGGCAAGTGCATATAGTATAGGTTAGATCAAGGTGAATACTCGTAATGATAATTAAGATAAGTCATCGTTTCTATATATTTTTATTTTCAATTTATCTTCTTAATGACAACTCAAATTTGCATTTATTTTATTTATCAATTAACCAAAAATACTAAATTTTCGAACATTTATTTTTATTGAGATTATATTGTTATTAATTATCTATCAAAGTTACAAAAAATATTTTAAAGATAACAGTGGATTAAGAATCGGGAAATAAATTTTATTAGCAAAATGATGCATTCTAAATATTTAATTTATTCAAATAAATACTAACATGTAGCATTTACTTTAATTTGAATCAGAATAAAATCAATATATCAAAAGAATAAGTATTGGGTGATTATAATTTCAATATTAATTATATAAGTAGTTCATTAACCCATTTTAGAAATTTGCGCATAATCTTTATTTATTCTTGATTTTCTAATCAATAAAGCCATTTACTATAAAATCTAAGGTAGGAATTTCAAAGTTACTATTTAATTAGACGTAATATTTTTAAAAAACATAGATGAAACCTACCAATGAAAATTATAAAAATACATTTGAACTCAATATCAAAGACAATCTAAGTTATCATAATATTTTGATATTATTAAAGCAAAAAACATAAATTATATTTATTTAGCCTTGCTACAAAGAAGTTTATATGGTTAAAAAATAAATTTATACATATTTTATCAAATCCTTTAACTTAATTTTAATTGTTTAAATATAAATATGCAAGCCTTTTTAATCCAAGAATTTAGATCTAAACTTGTACTTTTGAATAACTTAATGGTGTAAAGTATTTTGGTTAACAAAATAATTATAAGGAACAATTATTCATTTATTGAGTATGATACCAAGTACAGAAAAATTTAAATAAGGAAGATTTAAAGGTTTCAAGTAATTAATAAAAATACTTAATTAATCTTAGATTTAACAATATCAAAAAACATTATTATTTTCTAATATTTATAAGGGTATAAATTGTTAAGTAACTGAAGGTGGAAAAGTTGTTGAGTGTACTGGTAGTAGTATATACTATTGTCTTTGTAAAAAAGCAATTCCAAAGGCTGAGAAAATATTGTTTGCATTCTAAATTCTCAGTTTAACATCTAATAACTTTATTGGTATTGGATTTAGAGATATTATATCAAAAAATAATTATTCACCTGTAGGAGCTGGGTATGGCTATTAAATTATAATAGATCATATATGATTCGTTAAGATGGTTGTACGTACTCACATCATAATAAAGATGTAAATGTTAAATAATTATCATTCACATTTACAACAAATGATATAATCATAATGGAAGTAAGTATTGAACATAATTATGTTGAATGTACCAGATAGAATAATCTATTAACAACAACTGTAACTATCAAATCCAAAGAATTTCTGATTACAAAATTCGTACTAATTTATATTTCATTATTTCAATTTATTCAAGACTTCACATTAACATTAAGCATATTTAGAGATATCTACTTAAAATCCTTTAAATATTAAAATAGATTTTTTATATTAATGCTTAATTGATTTTTTTTAATTCAAACCTTAGACTACTAGCAAGTAGAAGTATTGGCATATTACTCAAATTTGTAAAGATTTTATGTAACCTCTATCAAATTTAGTATTTTTTGCTTTTAAAGCCTTCTGTTTTTTTCAGCCGAATGAAAAAGTAAGTTAAGAAGTTTTTAATTATAAAATCTCTAAATTCACAAAAAAAAATTCTTCTTAAGATAAGGATAGCTAAAGATAATAAATTTTAAATGAATAAGAATTGAAAATACTATTTTTTGTGGAAATATCGTATTATTGGTTGCGCAACCTATCAATTAAGAATATTCAGAAGCTTTAATGAAAAATTAGAAAATGCTTATGATAATAAGTGCTGCACCAAAGTTTTTAACTTTGTATCTCTAGGAAAAATTTGACATTTTTCAGACAGGATTTGAGGTTTGATTCGAAATTTATCCTCAAAATTTCAATGTAAATGATTGCATAGTTAAACAATTTCTTATTTAGCAAATAAGAATTTGTTACCTACTGGTTATATAATCCATACTTTTTTTAAGTCAATAGGAACAAAAAGTTCTTATTATTAATTTTAAACTAAGGCATCAATAAGCGCTTCATTATATTCAAATAAATTTTGTACTTTATGAATTCATAAAAAAGATATTTAGGTTCAAAAATTGTGATAATTTAAGAATAATCCCAAATAATCAGATATTAATATTCATAGTATAATAATTAAATAGATCTTGATCTATTGTACGATTTCAATTTTAATTTGTAAAAATATTTTTTTTTTTAAAGATAAAAATTTTGTATAATTCTAGAGGAGTGTCACTTTTTCTTAATTATATTTAAATTTAACAATAATTTATCCTCTTACTATTCAAATTTTAATAGAAGATACATTATTGATAAACAACCCATAACAGTGATTATTCCCTTGATAATCAATATTGTGATGCCATTTCTAAGAACTTGTATCTAACATGCACTAATTAAAGAATATTAATGGAAAATAAAAAATAAGTGCTAAAATACTGAGAAGAACCAATCTATTATAATAAGTTAAATTAAATTAAATTTTTGATGATAAGAATTATGATATCTTTATGTTTCAATCACTCATAATCATTATTGAATTTAAAGAATTTTTTTTCAATTTTTTGAAAGAGTTTACTAATTTTTTATGAAATGTACCTCTAACACTAACTTAGCTTTTACCGAATACTTTTATGATTTACTGTATAAATATGAAAATGAATCATATTGTTTTATTTTTATAAAATTATAACTTCAGTTAATTGGATCAATTTATATTATGAATTAATATAGTTAATAGAATGATAATAAGTATAGTTATATTAGAAGGCTAAGAGCTCTACTTCTTAAATATTCAGTAAAGGATCAGTAGTAGAATTCAATGTTATAAATAATAAACAGTTGTATAGATATTTAAGAAAAATAAATTACTTCTACTTACAAATAATATTTAAATTAATAAAAAAAATAATAAATGTTGAATTTTCTTTTATAAGTAGACCTAAATAGCTGAAGGATTCATGACAACTCATTAGTCAAGATAAGATACAATTAATATGATAAATTAGGGTGAGTTTTTGGAGATGTATTCTATTGGGGGGTATGCTTTAATATATAAAAAGAGAAGGAAGAAGAAATATTAGATTAAATAATCTATATAACAAAGTGATCGCATTACATTATCTGGTCGATTAATATAAAAAAATGTAGAATATAAGGTATATCAAATAAAGCCATACTTAAAATAAAAATTCTTGATCAAATACATTTAAGCAAACCTCTTTCTAATTAATCACCCTTACCATATATTTTAAATTGGCTTTTTGAACAGGCACTTTCTGTAGAATTTTGGACTTGTATAAGTATACATCAAATTATTTAGGTACTTTATTAAATGAATAATCGATCCTAATTTCTGGTTTGCTACCTAAATAAAACTCTGTTTTAAATCTTAGTATCTTATTGCAAGTCAGAGTATTTAATCATTTTTTACTTATAATAATCTCAATCTTTTGATGGTATCCAGTCAACATTTTTACATAAATCCATCTTTCTCATAAATATTTTAGTTTTGAGAAGTTATTATTGATTATCAGATAAATATCAATTACCAATTAAAATCACATTTTGACAGTATAGTTTTTATTTAATCAATCAATTATTCTTTAAATTTAGCATAAAGTATTTTTTTTCAATTTATATTTACTTGTATACAGTAACAGGATCATTGATTTCGATGCATATAACTTGAAAAAAAAGATTAAAAATATATAGTGAGTAGAGAATGTAATGTTACTTTATGTAATATATATATTAACATTATTTTCTAGAGATCCAATTCAATATAAAAAGTGATTGATTAAATATTTCAGAATTCACCTATTATTACTCACTTCTTTTTGGGTTTTTGTCAGTTTATAAATATTTTATTATCATTTTAAAAATATAAATTTATATTTATTAAATATTGAAAATTGAAATTCTTAACCGTCTTTATCATAAAATATGTAAAAGTTTAATTTAGTAAAATCTGTATTAATACAAGATTAATTTATTGTAATATTTAACTATTTGATTTTATTTTTCATTATAGATTAGTGCTTAAATTACTATTTTTTGGAATAGACCTATATATATGTTTCATTAAATTCTAAAGTGATATGATTTTTGTAATTTATTCGTTACTAATAAGAATTTTTTGTAGTGAATATCAGTATTTATTAATATACAACATATTAGCTCCATATATTTGTTATTACTCTTAAATCCAATTTCTACACAATAGTAATTATTATGGTATTAAAATTACAAAAATTCCTAAAATAATAAAGTTATAAAATAATTGCTACTTTGATTTTAATTACTCCTCATGATTTGATATGGTTAAATGAGAATATTAATACTAGTTTAATAGATAAAATATTGAAAACTGTTAGATAAATTGAATATATATTAAATTTAAGTTTCAAATTATTCAACTTTATACTTAAGAATAGTTAAATCTTCAAAGAAATAAGCATGAAAATGTCAAAACAGAAATACAATGTCTGATTTATCATTCAATCTATATATGTTAAAATCAAAGATTCTTTCAGAATAATTAAAATGAATAGTATAAAGTCCACTATTAAGTTAAAACTTTTAAGAATTTTAGATATGGAGGGTTATTATTAGATGCAGTAATGAATATAACATTCTATAATAGGCTGAATGATGTTTACATAAAATAATCAAATTCAAGATATAAGGCATTGCCTT